AGGTCCAAGAGTGGGTATTTTTCTGGCAATTCTTCCATTTCTTGTTCTCTTTTTTCTGACTGGAACCTCTTTGCTCATTGACGTGAGACTCCTGCAGCGCTGCTGCCCCGGGGGACTTTCTAGCCGCACTCTCTTCATCTGCATGGCATTTAACTTTCTAGACAGTGCGTGTGTTGAAAAACAAAGAAATGAACAAAAACCTGCTTGTTTTAGATATTAAAAAAAAAGGAAAAAAAAAAAGAAAAAAAAAGGAAATGTTTTCTCCGTGTAAATTCTGAGCCTGTATTTTGCCTTTTCTGTGGTTTTGAATGCTTTGCTCTCTGTCGAGGCAGGGATGGCTGCGTCCTTGCAAACTGCACAAATATTTTCTCACTGGATGGAGGGGTAAAAATCCAAACTGTTGGGGCATGAACAGCCCTGAGACATGTTTCAGTGTGTCCTGCTGTGCTGGCAGCGTGATGGTTGCTTGCTGGCAGTGTGTGTAGGTGAGGCTTTTTTGTGGGCAAATCACACAGGTTCTCCACAGGTGCAAATGTATGTCCCCATGCCTTTGGTGGGCCTGTGCTGTTTGACTGTGGATCTGCGTTGGCTTGCAAGAGATGGCCCTGTAGCAGGGAAATCCACGCAGGGAGAGGATTAGCTTTTAAGGTGGAGTTTGGGTGTTTTTACAGATTTGCTTTTCTTCCTGCAGTCGCGTAGTGCTGAAGTTGTTTTCACTTTTAAAGGAAGGATTCAGCTCTTTCACAGTTCTCTCTCTCCCTCTCCAGAGCTGGCTCTGAAGCCAGCCATGGTGAGTGTCTCATCCACCTCCTGATGCCCAGGCTCTCTGGATGTCAGGAGTATTTTTGGGGATCGGTATGAGATGGATGAGGAAGGAGGAGGTCACGGCAGGGCTCTGCATAGGGGCTGTAGTGCAGATGTGATTTCAGCCTGGTTTTGGAGCTGCCAATTGCTGTGGACCTCGAGTGGGCTGTGAGGGTGAAGCTGCTCCAGCAGCTGCTGCTGGAGAAAGATCTGGGACAGGGGGTACGGTGGGGTTTGCCGGAGATGCTGGGGTAGATACAATGTCTTTTCACTGAGAGCCCACTTTGGGCAGTCACTGCTAGGGAGGAACATCTTGGTTTCCAGGGAGGCTTCGAGCTGTCTTCTTGGAGGTGGTTTCTCCTCTTTGAGGCTTCCCTACTGTCATCTGTCCAGGGACAGGTTCCTCTGGAAGCAGCTGGATGTCCTTGAAGACCTAAAATGCTCCCAATCCTTTCAAAGGGAAGCAGAGTCTGGGGTTCTAGTCTTCCAGTCAGGCTGAAGCCTGACCAAGGAAGACCCAATTTCCCAACCTGCCCACGTTGGCAGCATTAAGCACCTGCACTTTAGGGGTCTGTTCTGCCTGGTTTCTCTTCCCCACCTTGCCCTGCTTCCCCAGAGCAGGTTCCTGTATCCCCAGAGCATCTCTGAGCAAGCACTGATAAACCACCACCCTTTTCTTTTAGTAGCCATGGTGAACAGCTTCTGTCTCTGTCTTCCTTCACATTTCCTGATTTCTCCTAAACTTGCAGTAAAACTAACAAACAAACAAATCACCAACTGCCACCATCCTTCTTTGGCTCACAGAGCCAGGGACGCTGCCCTTACATCTGTACTTTTAAACTGTTGGCACCATGCCTCACACATACTAACTGGCATTGCCCCAACAATCCCACCATGGTTCTGGGGATGACAAGGTCCAGGGCATGTTCCCAATAAGCAATATGGACGAGGCCACCTTGTTGGGATGGAGTTCACCACCACGGACCTCCTGTCCCCATCAGGCTGCGGCACGTTTTATTTCCTAGTACACCACCTGGTCGCCTGGCCGTTGGGGTCAAAGGAAACTCAGCAGTCCTCCAAACTGATCATCTCTTCCACCTCTCACAGACCACAGGGGATATCCGAGTGGAAGCACTTGCTGCGGTGGTCTCAGGCTCCCAGCTCCGTGGGTAGGCTTGGGAATCGCCCAGCTGCCAGGGTCCAGGTCCAACTGCAACATCATCATTTCTCAGGTCTTGCTGGTGCAGCTGCTCTGGAAGAAGAAGAGGCCACTCCTGGACCTCTGCTCTTTGCTGGAGGAGCAGGGTCTCCTCTCCTTACCCTGGCCAGGCACAGCCAGGAGAGCTGTCTTTCCCCCCCAAGTAAATGCCCCATCTGCCAGGCACCGAACCGCCATCTGCCAGGCACCGAACCGCCATCTGCCAGGCACCGAACCGCCATCTGACCCCAAACCTGCCTCCCCTCCCTCTGCCCTCCATGAGTTGATGCTCCTGTGGAGCCCCAGAGGTTGGAGCAGGCAGCAACAGCCATCTGCTCCCACTTTGAGCTCACAATCTGCTCTGCAGCCCATGGCAGAATTGCTGGGGAGGACCAGCAAACAGCAGTGCCGTGTTTGAGAGGGCAGCCACATAGCGCCATGGACCGAGAGGTGTCTGTCAGCAGAAGATCCCGTAACCGTCTCCTCTGATCATCCCCGGAGCTAACCCTTCTTCCCCACCGCAGGACACATCTCATGGTGTACACCGCTCTCTTGATGCAAACACCATCCTCCTGATAGCAGGGTAGAGACCTCGCTGTTACTCGTTTCCAAAGGTACAGGTCCCAGCTCATCCATACCAGACAGGGAACAGGCTGTGGGAACATCAGAGGAGGGGCTGGTGGCCCCTCTGCCATCTGTCCCCCAAAGGCTACGCACCGGCTCCCTGCCCCTCGGCTGAATGTCCTTCCCACCCGCAGGTTGACAGCGAGTGAGAGAGGGGGTGGTGGAGGGGGCTATATCGAGTGGCTCCTTCCTTCTTGTCCCTTTTTTCTAACTGTTGCACAATTTAGGGCTTTTGTAATATTTTTTTGGACAAGCAGGGAAAATATGTTAACAGTGGTTTAAGAAAAAAATGAGATATCTCTCTCTTATATATTA